CTCCCCTCAGCCTCCCAAAGGCGCGGGATTACAGGCTGAGCCACCGAGCCTGGCTAGGGCTTCTTTTTCTTTTGTTGACCGGACTTTGGTTTTCAGGAGAGTTTTTCTACCATGGACCTCAAAACGGAAAGCAATTATGTTTTCTCCCCTGCAATGGGAAGTGGTTAATTACAGGAACAAGAGTTTTAAACCCAAGACGTCCTCCAGCCCACTGCTTCTCAAGGAGGCCGGAAGTGGGGTTGGAAGATGGGAGAGCTGTCGGGACGGGCCTGCTGTAAATTGCAATGCCATGGTGCAAAACAGTTTTTTTAAAAATACAAAACACAAAATGTAATGCTGGACAGAATCTTGGTTGAAAGAGGTTTAGACATCACCGTGATCCCCACAGTGTCCTAAAGTGTGTATCAGAACAGGGGGATAGCATTGCTCGGAAAAGTTTAGAAACAGTCACCGAGGCCAAGCCTTCCGTTCCATGAGAAGAGAAACCAGAGTCTCCCTGCTTCTGGGAATTTTCCAAAATAGCGCTCTCAGCTTGTTCCCTGCAGCGTGAAAGTCACACTCTCAGTTTGTCATCAGAGGCTTTTGGTCGTGTTTCCTTTTCTCCTATTGCTGCCCCATGCTCTGGCCAGACTCGCCTATTTACCTTATCTACCTCCACCTTTCTTTTTTTTTTTTTTGAGTGGGGTCTCACTCTGATGCCCAGGCTGGGGTGCAGTAGTGGCATGATCACGGCTCACCACAACCTCCACCTCCTGGCCTCAGGGTATCCTTCCACCTCAGCCTCCCAAGTAGCTGGGACTATAGGTGTGCACCACCATGCCTGGACTAACTTTATTCTTTGTAGATTTCAGGTCTTGCTATGTTGCCCAGGCTGGTCTCAAAACTCCTGGGCACAAGCAATCCTCCCATCTTGGCCTCTCAAAGTGCTAGGATTGCGGGTATGAGCCACTGCGCCTGGCTAAAGTATATTCTTTTTTTGAGTTGGAGTCTCACTCTGTCACCCAGACTGAATGCAGTGGCGGCTCCCGGCCACCGCAGCCTCGACCTGCTGGGCTCCGGCGATCCTTCCGCCTCA